TCCCACGGGGCAGTTGCTGAGTGACTCCCACGGCATGTCATGCTGTGAAGGCTCAGGTCAGGGAAGCTCTGACCAGCCATCAGGAGCACAGCAGACAGAGGAGGACCAAGCCTCCTTGACTGTGCAGGTGATGGACTTTGAGCCTTCAGAGCTGGGTGCTTGAGGAGCTGCATTCAGATATAAGCGCCTCCAAGTCTATATCTGTCCTGTTTCTTGAGTGGTCTCTTTTCCTTTGCCCAAGGAGAACAAAGCTGGTGCTGTCTCAACCCTGACACGAAAGTCCCTGTCTAGGGAGCAGGGACACTCAGTACCCAGCAGTCCCCGGGCACAACATGCTTGGTTCAGTGATGCTGCTTTGGCTGACAGTTCATCTGGCTGCTCTCCCCAGAAGCAGAGAGAGGGAGCTGGACACTGTCACAGCCCCAGCAGTGTATCTAAGGCAGGGTTTAGCTGCAGGAAGGGGTCACCTGCTGGGTTGTGTTTCAGCATCGTGCTACATTTTGGTCTCTTTTTCCCTTTCTCTGCAGCACACTCCTGGTACAAAGGATTTGACACCAGGCGATTATCTGAAACTGGAGACACAAGGTGCTGGTGCAGCTCTGGTTACACATATTATGCCGAAGCCTTCACTCTTACTGATCATGAGCATGTCACCCCACGGTTTTTCTTTCTTTCTTTGTTTTTTTGTTTCCTTACATAATTAATGCAGTGAAATGAAAACGCTGTCCATATAATTATGAGGATGTCAGATGTTCAGACATAATTATTCCATTCCAAGGTGACAGATACGTGAAGTAGTCTTCATTTTTAAGTATTCATGTCTTGAAAATGATATAATTACACTCATCTATTTGGGGTTTCTGTGATTATTGGTCATCATCTCTTCCTGGACCTGAGGCTTCCCTGAGGTCAAAGTAGAAATATTCAGCAACAGTCTGAACCACACAGATGTTGCATATCTACTTGACAGTGTTTACTATTTGCAGGATTGTTTTAAATAAATTACGCTTTCAAACTAAGAGTGGGTCACCGCCATAAAGATGGCCTTGCATAGCAAGAGAAGGAAAGAAGCAAAGAAGAAAGGAAGAGAGATGCAATCAGTCAAGAAATAAAGAAAGAGAGGGAGATGGGAGCCAAACTGAGCTGCATGCTATCCCATAGTTTATTAACATTCGATTAGCATAATGAATATTCAGCCTCATTATTATCTTATTGTTCCTCTTTGCATAGTATGTTAAGTATGGAAAGTTTCTTCTGTGGCTTTTTTCATTGCAAATTTTGCCCCTGGAGAAATGAGTTCTCCTTATCAAAAGAGTCTAAGAGTAAGGATTAGGCACAAAAGAAAAGGAAAACATGTTGCAAGGAACATGTCTCATAAAATCCGAAGCCAAACAATTTCTATCATGTATCTATAACTTTCATGGGACTATTGACTAAGGTATGCTTTTAAAATATGTGCGTGCTATGACTGAATTTATCTTTATATGGCAGCAGCATTACATTTCAATGTGTCGATATCTAACCTGCTGATTAAATTTGTTTTGAAGATTGTTTAAGAGGTGATTGTCAAACCGAAATGGCATCACCTTGGCGTTGGGCCAGCATCTGTGGCTGAAATGCAGATCAGCATGGGAGCACAAGCCCGCCACCAGCTCCTGATCTGCCCCTGAGGCAGAGCTGGAAGGAGATGTGGGGAAATTGCTCCTGAAGGCTCCAGGCTCCCAGGATGGCCCAGAGACACCTCCGGGCGGCCAGGTGGGCTCTGCCCAGCTGCTGCCTGGGGAAGGCCCCGGGCATGGTCCTGTGGCCAGGCCCAGCAATTCTCAGTAATCACTCAGACTGCAGGAGGGAGTCTGGGGAGAGGGAGAAACCACAAGCATGGACCTTGTTTTTTTGGAAAGTCTGGGCGTTCTGGCTTGGGGCAGTGATAGTCCCACTCTGCAGCCTTCGGTCTGGGGAAGGCCACGTGCATGTTGTACCCTTGGATACTGCTTTTCCTCGGTGCAGGGAGGTTGCGAGTGGGGCTTAAGTGTGTGGCCAAGGCGGGAGGAGCAGAGGCTGTGTGCTGGGAAAGTCTCCAAGCAGTTTTCTCTTCAGATCAATGAACACACTCGGAAAAAGGAGCAGAGGAGCTCGCCAGCATGGCTGGAGGGGGCCACAGGGGCTGCCAGCCAAGGCAAACAAGGAAGCCACCTGATGTGACTGGGGTCAGATAAGAGAGTCGTCACTTCAGGAGCAGGTGTTTCCTGCGTTGTGCACTCACCCGGCCCCAGCTCTGTCTGTGGAGCAGCCTGTGGCCTACAGTTCCCTGAGGTGGCTGCCTGGCACCCGCATCCCGGGTCAGGATGCTCCTCAACCTGGAGGAGCAATGCCTTTTCTCAGCCGTGGGCTAGCACTGGCCTCAGGGCTCCTACACAGTGCTAGCTGTGAACACTTGCTATGAGTTGGCTGTGGGTGGCTGGAAGCCTATAAATGATTCAGTAAACCGTACTGAACAAATAACAGAGGGCTGATGTGGCAGGGAGCAATGGGGAATTGGTCCAGGCAGCACTGTACACCCTGAGCTTGAAGTAAGCTTTGTAGGATGCTGAGCTAGGCTGTGAGTGCCTGGATATTTTTTTTTTATATACTTGTGGTGTTCACATAAAGCCAGTCAAGGCCTTCAGGAGCTGATGTCTCTTCAGCTGCACGAGGCAGTGTCAGATCAGGGGCTGCATGCCCTAGTGACCATGTCTTTGCTCTCCCCTCCAGGAAATCTACAGACGATAGAAAATGTATGGGGAGAGAGGAACATATCTTACACTGTACAACCCCCACCCGGGACCCTGATATGTGATGTTCTCCTCAAAGAAATCCTCAAAAAAGAGAAGCAGGTCACGATGAACAGCAAGTGACATGTACTTCAAAGAACATGAATTGTTCTTCTCAACTGGGCATAAAGTGACTGATGACAGTCTTTTGTTTAACAAGTTAGCATTTACCATACGCTTTCTAGTAATAAGACCTGTAGTCTCCTAAGAATGAGCAGAAGGGCCCTCAGGAGGCAAATCTGGTCCTTACCCAGGGTTCAAGGTAGGTTCCGGACCTTTGAGGTTATACTTGGGTTTGTATGAAGAGAGGTGAGAAAGCGTTTTCAGAAGGAATGCTTTCCAGTGACTACAGGACAACTCAAGGTTTGGACACCACATTGATTCTGCATCTCTGACACTGTTTTCCCTTGTGAATTTAGATAAATCAGCTTTGCAAAAGAAGGGCAATAAAATAATAACTGTCTACTGTAATGTGGCTTCACCTTACTCTCTGGCAGATAAATATGAAACTCATTATGAATACAAGAATATTTTTCAGAGATGAATGAGTTAAGACTCTGAAGCTCTCTGGGAGTCCTGTGTGATTAATTAATACAAGATGAAGCCAAAGTAGCAGAATAGTGTAGAGCAAAGAGAAAATTTGCACCTGAGGGCTCTCCATTGGCTGATGAGCCAGCAGATCAGAAAGGTCAGATGTAACCACTATAAGTGTGATTGTACTTAAATGTCAGAAAATTCCAAAACAGGCAGAAAGCTCATTGTATTCCAAACAGTACTCAAATGCCATGTCACTTGGGAAGCCCTGCATGTATTCCTCTGATCACACAGGCACATCAATGGCGTCTCTGCTGGATTGTGTTTCCTCGGGGGTCTTCTTCAGCTCAAGAACATACTATTTGCCCTAGAGAGCCCTGGGGGACAGCAGTTTGCTCTATCAACCCATCAGTAATATACACTGTATGCATCCCTTGGAGTGGGATAACTAGTTGTGTGTCTGAATGTACTTTTTGGTATCAAGCTCTGGTTAAAAGCCTTTCCCGCTAAATGCATGCAAGTTTAGTTTCCTCTCTGCAACCAGCTGTAGAAGCATGACAGCACACACTGTGCAGAAGAGAACTTCCAGACAGCACTGTATAATGTAGTACTGGCAGAGCCATCTAAGAAAGCTCCAAATGTATGAAATTTGGTTGACATCCAGTCTAAGGGAAGAGTCTGAGGTTGACTCTGAGCAAATGGACTCACCCAAGATGAGGTGAAAAACCTTTCTTTCAACAGTTAGTGGTAGCCCTGGTGCTACACTGTCCACCTTGTTCTTTGGCTGCCTAGTCTTGGGTTGCTTGATGTTCTTGGGAGTCTTCTTCACTCAGTCACCCTCATCTTACTGCTCCCATCCTCAAAGTCAACAGCACAAGAGCCTAAGCACATCTGCTCTGGTGTCAAGCCCAGATTCCTCACCCTGGGTCTGAGGAGAGCCCTCTTTGGCCTAGCTTCCCCTGTGTGTTCCTTGCTCTGAATCTCTGGTGCTTTGGTACCTGATACCCCTGGCTGTGCTATCTTCCCCTCACAGTCTCTCCTTTAAAGAGTTGCTCCTGTGTATTATCTGTGGTTGCTTCCTTTTTGCTCCGTTCCCAAACACCAGGTCTATTCTTGGAACGTCCGGCTAGAGCACTCGTATTGACGTCAAAATTACTCAACAGTTATTGTCAGGAAGGACTTGATTTGCATTTGAATAGAGTGGCTTTTTAATGTCTCAGAAATAAGATGCTGTTGGGGACAATGTCTGGAAAGATTCCCCAAGGTAACTGTGAAGAGGCAAATTGCAAGCACGTCTCTTCTTGAAATTTCTTGAATCCCCCAGGTGTGGTGAGAATAGGAAGAAAACCACCTGTGTTCGATGAAGGAGTATAGCTGCTTTCTCCACACACCACTTTCGTGCACTCTGTCCTAAGGCCTGGTGGGAAAAACAGCACTACTCCAGCTTCCTGACAGGAACTGCAAAGCCCCTCTTGAAAATACTCTGTTCAATCTGATCCAGTCACTCATGGCTGTTCCTGAGGAGGAGGGGAAAAGTACAGAAGGGAGTCTGTAACCTCAGCTGATTTTCCCATTAAACCAATGACCATCAGGTTTCTGTCATTTGCTACTAAGAACTTGGTTTGGATGCATCTGGGTCAGTTCAGCTCCTGGAACTCTCTCCCAAATAAATGGCAGGTTAGGGGACTGTAGGCCTTGATTGTAGGATTGCTACATCAATTTTCCAACCTGAGACTGTGAGTTCTCCTCAGGTGAGTTCTTACCACTACTATATTGTCTGTGCATGAGTGTTATAAGAGCCAATTATTGATGCGTTCCATGAATATCATGAATGCAAATAATGGCTAGTTAAATGTCCTGTGATTTTGTCCACGTGCTTGACTGTGAGCAGAAAGTTTCTTACCAGCTATAAGCAGAAATATCCCTTCTCCATCAGCAGTAAGGAAGTGGATATAGTTTTGCTGCTACCAGTTCCCTGTGAAGTAGACTGTCCTTTAATGTAGATGATGAAAAGGAGCGTGGGAACATAGAGGGCTACAGGAATGAATGCTGCCTGACTGATATCCTGGGCTGTATCTAATAGATTGGATGTTAGGAAAAGCTTCTCAGAAAGAGCAGTAAGGCGGTGGCAAAGGCTGCCCAGGGAGGTGGAGGAGTCACCGTCCCTGGAGGTATTCAAGAAAAGGGTAGATGTGACACGGAGGGACATGGTCAGTGGGCATGATGGGTTGGACTGGATGGTCTAAGTGTTTTTTTCCAACCTTACTGATTCTCTTATTCTAAGCAAATGAAGTTCTTGGCATGCAGCACTGGAGTGTGTAGAACTGCTTTTCTGGAGGGGAAGATACATCCTGGGATTCACCCAGATAGCTCTAGCGTACGGTATGCTAACTTTTAAGCTGGTACATCACTGAAGGTCGGGCCTTGAATCTTGCACAATTGCTTGACCTTGTTGTGCTTCATGTCCCTACCTTAGAAATAGGGATGACATTTCTTCCCAACATCATAGATGAGAGGGGCCTGTTGGGATCCTTGATAGGAATAGATGTTTTGTAAGCACCTATAGCCAACAGAAAGCAGCTTCAGGTGGTACCTGTGTGCAGGCTGAGGCATTAGAACTGACTATCCCTGGAGAGCAAGCTGTGACCAGGAATGGAGCAGCTTTTCAGAGCTGTCCCAGGGCTCTGCACCCTCCGCAGTCACTCAGCTCTCAGCTGGGAAGGTCTGGGTCATATTGTTGGGGCAATTGGACTTGAAAATCAAAGCTCAGCGTTTCTGCTCCAGCTCTTCCCTGCTCCTCACCCAGCCCACTCCAGCAAGGCACTCAGGGCAGTGAGCCAAGGACTTTTCAATCACACTGTTACCAAGAAGGACATGAAGCCTTCCAAGCTCAGGCTGATTGCATGTTTGTGCTGAACAGTGTTACTGTTTACAGATAAACAGAGCACAGTTCCATCTGTGTGCTGTGTGCAGAGCAGCATGGGTTGGGCTGACCTCCTGCTGCACCTCCCAGGCCTTCCGTTCGCCCTGCTTTCTACCGCTGGAGGTATTGCTGTAGCTGTTTTCCTTTCTGAGCCTCTCTGGGGAGGTGAACTTCAAGACCTGCCTAAATCTTGCAGGACTTGCTGGCAGAGCCACAGCTGTCCCCAGGGTGACTGCTATTTGTCTAGATGCCCTCAAGGCAGCAACGCTAAGAAAACTCCTGTGGCAGAGAAAGAGCATGTTCCCATTTGAAAGCTTCATGCTAAGCCTGGCTTGTGGGGCAGGGGTCCCAGACTGCTTGTAGAGAATGTGTCTGACTGACTATAGTCAGTTCCCGCTTGTGGTATCCCTGCCATCACGTGGAAAGTGCACACAGCTCACTATCCCATCCTTAATGTCTGTTTGACTAATCCTTGCTGTGTCAGCAGCTGCAAACACTGAGAAATGAGATGTTGCACAGCTTAGTATATCTGTGTAGTTGGGAAACCTTCACTGCTTGCTAAATATAAGCCTCTCAGCTAATTGCAGGCCAGAGAGCTTCTCATCCCTAACCTCCTCCTGTCCTTTCTTGGGTGTCATGTGTGCTCAGCACAGTGTGGTCAGACTGACTGCATGCAGGATATCAGAAGGGAGCTTCTTTTATATTGGCCTCTTGAATACCCATATGTACCCCAACTCAGTTTGTAATGTAAGAGGTGAGTGCAGCACATACCAGGGGCAGAACAAGGCATGTTTCACCCCTCTGCCACGATCAATGAAGCACTGGTACAGGTTGCCCAGAAATGTGGTGGATATGGAGGTACTCAAGTCAGGCTGGACAGGGCTCTAAGCACCTGTTGTAGCTGTAGGTGTTCCTGCTCATTGCAGAGGAGTTGGACAAGATGGCCTTTAAGGGTCCCTTCTGACTCAATTCCATGATCAGTCAGCCATAGCAGGTGGATTATGTGAGCACCCTGATATGAGCTTTCAAGCTAAGAATGGGAACTGAGCCTAAATTTTGTTTAGTTCATACGGATGGTGCACAGTGTAGCTGATACTGCTGCAAGGAAGCTGAGGCTGCCAGCTCTGCACTGGCTTAAATGCAGCAGGATGGAGAGGAAGGTCACACTGCTGGGGCAGAAAGGCATTGCTGGGGAAGTCCTGCCGGGTGGCAATGGAGAAGTTCAGCCAGCCAAAATTCCCATTTCAGACTGGGAAAGCCAAGGGTGAGGAGCCAGCTCGGTGCTGCTAAAGCAGAGGTTGACCTTCATCCATCTTCTGTAAGCTAACCGTGTCTTGGATGATGTTCATTACTTCGCTTTCCAAATCTGTGAGGAAGGCTAGAAAAGGATTTCTTAAGAGCAATAACAATGAGTGATTTCCTTCATCCTGTGCTCTCTTAATAAGTTTTTAAAACTGTGGTCAACTAGGGATCTTCTAGGTCAAAACTCAGCCTGCTTTTCCTTTAACTTTGCCCCAGTCCCTCCCTCACCACCCACAAGAAGCTCACTCTGCAAAACTCTAGCAGCAGCTTGACACAAATTGAATTTGGCTTACTCACCTTTCTCAGTAATGCTGACTACAGTGGTGTTCAGCCAGGGTTTGTGAGCTTTTCCGCAGTGTGCTGAATGGTTTACCAGAGAATCTGCCATCTCAGGTTTTTAGGTAGGCCCTCAACTAGAGAGTTATACTTTCAAATCTCACTCACACACTTTGGCCTCTCCAGCTGCACTTGGACCTCTCTAAGATAAATAAAAGAGCTAGAGGTAGGTGCATGCCCCAGGGATAACCTCACGCATGGATGTTAACCCAAATGCCAGACCGACATACGTATCTCATTTTTGTGATGAGGCAGGGAAAGAGAAGAAGCAATTTGATTCTTTCTCGCTATGTCACTCCTGATAACTTTGGTTTCCAGTTTTTCCATGAGTGAACTGCAGATGCTTCTGAACTCAAATGGATTTGATGTCCCGATGTCCTAGCAAGCTCATGCAAATCTAGGTCAGTACATGAATGGACAGTCTGGGCCCTGTCCACTCTATCTGGAGGACTCAACATGACCCAACTTTAGGGCCATATGAGGAAAATAGTGTTTGACAAGTTATGATGCTCCTTCCAGATATACTTATTCCATCTCTTCGCATCTGCTGTGCCAGGTTGCTTTTTCCACACCTCTGGTAACATTATGAGCCTTGTCTTTCATGTCCCTATCACAGAGTGGATGTCCTGCTTAGGAATGCAGTCATTCCAGTTGTGCATTGGGCTGTAGGCTTAATTTCTGATCTTGTTCTCAGAGCAGATGTTGTATACCACATTCTCAATCATTTTCTTGAAACTTCGTTGAAATTTAGTTTAGAGTAACCAGATACAAGTTGGCTCCCCATCTACGTTCAACTTGGTGCCTTGAAAGTCCAAGCAAAGGCTGACCTACCTTAGGCACAGCAGCTGTCTCACCTCCCAGTAAGTTACAACTTTTTTCATTGTTATCACACCGATATGAATTTTCTTACACGACACCAAGGTTTGCTACTTTCCCTTCTTATTCTTCTGAATGAGCAAGGGTTGAATGGGAGTGGAGACCCAAAGCCCTCTCCGTCCCTGGGGAGGTTGTTGCAGGTCAAGGCTGAGACCTGCAGGGCTGGCACTGCATCCCCCTATGATCCTCCTTCTCCTCCTTTGGGAGACAGCACCATGTGAGCCTCTGTGAGAGCATGGCATGCCCAGAGGCATATGTATGGGAAGAGAAAGCCACAGTGTGGTGCTGCAAATGCAGTGCTGAGAATTCAGCACCTCGACAGTCAATGGCACGTTCACTTCTCAGCCCCCTGGTGTCTCCCAGGTGTGGCTAATCACTTACAACCAGGCACCCCCTCCTTGGCCTTCACCACGGACATGGCCCTCCTCTTTACAGCTCTACTAGAGCGTGTTCAAGTTTCTGTCAGAACCAGAAACATGCCACACGCTGCTCTAATCCCTTTAGCAGTGCACAGACTCAAGCAGCTCTCCAATAAAAGAGTGAGTGCCACCCTGAACTTCCCTAATTTGTCACAGTCAACAGGATTTTTTTCCCTCTCTTTCACAGCACAGCAGTAACTTAACACGTCTGTGATGCACTGGCTGGCCTTTGTCTCATCCATAGACTGATGGAAGCACTGAGGGCAGCAGTGGGCAAAGGATGCTCAGCTACGGGGACTTGGGAAAAAAAGGCTTCCCCTGCAGCCATTTCCATCAGCCCACAGCAGAGGGAGAGAAGGAGGAGATCTTTCCCAAGCCAATCACCTCTCTATGCTCCCCAGAGTGCAGGTTGCATATATCTGTATGGCACAAGGCACTCCCCTCCATGAGCTGGAGCGCAGTGAGGCACAGGTGGGTGCTGCCATCTCAGCAGAGCAGCAGGGGCTGGGACTCCCCAGCTCACCCCTGTGAGGTTTACAATTTGTACATCCTCAGACAGATGGGGCTGCCTGGTTGCACAGCAATGCCATACAGGATGCAGCAGCAGCCCTGCTGAGCAGCGTATTTTTTCCTTTGTGCCTTTGCGCCTTGTAAATCGCAGCCAGCAATGGGGACAAACAAGTTTTTTTTTCCCTCCTGTATTTAGGAAATCTCTCTTCTTTCTTCACCAGCCGAGTGTGCTCTGGGATACTTGATGCTCCCTGAAAATGGCAATGGCAATGGAGGCTGCATCCTCTTCCACACCTCATGCGTATGGCTGCACCTGTGTGTGTCACGGAGTGTCCTAGCAGCTGTGAGCTTATGGGTTGCACTGAGAAACACAGGATTCTCAGAAACAGCACTGGAAGTCCCACTCTTGAGCACATTCCCATTGTTTCTTAAGGGTCTAGAGAGGGTTGTGTGTATATATACACGCAATGTGCATTAAAAACACACGCAGTGTAACACCAGCCAGAATGGTTGTTTTCCTTTCAGGATGGTGACCCTGTCTGAGGGAAGCTGATGAAGCCCTACAGGAGGGAGATCTGAGTCATGAGAGCCTTCTCATGGAAATTTACTTCCTGGCCTCCTTTCTGCTGCACACTGAGAACAGAAGATGAACTAGGACATGGTAGAGGGAAGCTGCAATGGTATGAGCTCTCCAGAGCACAATAAGCAGTTTTCGTTCCTATAAAACATGCAGTCTTTCGGTATCTTTGCTCTTTCCTGCTTCTCGTTCCTCCCCTTTGCCCTCCTTGCTCCTAGCCCAGCTCCGTGGTGGCTGGTCACACATCCATTCAGCAACTTGCAAGGTCTCATCATTTATAATTCTTAGACACACAAGCTGCCACTTTCACATACGGAAATTCCCAAAGGTCAGAGAAGGGAAATGGTTAATTCCTTTTATTCAATACCTAACCTCCCCCCTCATCCCCCACTTTCCACCCCCACCCTGTGTGAACAGGAAGCTTGAAAAGGAAAAGCTTTCTGAATCCAGCAGCTGGGAATGGAGGAATCCTGGAACTTTATGCTGCAGAAGTTTGGAGACAACAATAAAGGTTCTCTCCCCCCACCCCCATCCAAATAGCAAGTATACATAAAGTAGTTATCTCTTCAAAAAATCATATGGGGGATGGGAGGGTCAAAATCCCAGCAGGCAAGTATTGAATTGGCTGAAGCTCCAGCAAGAAGAAGGAGACCCCTGGGCATTCAGATCTGACTGTACCATCAGCTTGGTAAGCTGGAAACACAGGGAAGAAGCCTAACCAGATGGTGATCATACAGGTGCAGTTTGTGACTTGGCTTTGTTTGCACTGCTCTCTGAAATGCTACATGACGTGATGTGGACCTGAACGTCACACATAGCGTTGTTTCTCCCCATGGGACTGGCCACAGACCTTTCCACATCAGCCCTTTCAGATGTGGAAATGACTAAAACTTGATCCATCTTTGGATTTTTCCTACCAGAGCAGGAAGATGAGGGTGATTTTCTTAGAAATAACCAGAGTGACTGCCAGGATTGATGGTTTATTCAACAGAGTGCGTCACTGCTGCAGCTGCATGAGGGTGGGAAGAGCTGTGGGTCTCTTTGGAGGAAAAAGGTGCCTGGAGTGTTGCTGTGTAGGTGCCCCAGTGTCAGTTTGTGGCCCATCTTGTCTCAGTTTGCCCTCATGAAGCCTACAGTAGCAAATAGATGCACACAGGTGTTGCCCATTGTTGCACATCCATGGCCTTGTCCTGTGAACCCTGTGTACTGCCAGCCCCACAAAGGGCTTTCATAACTGAAGACGGCAATGTCAACAAGAGAACAATCCAGTGGCCAAACTGCACCATCCTCTCCATTTATAACCCTAAATCTCTTTCTGCAAGACCCAAAGCCATGCGTGCATTTGGCTTATCTTGGCCAGGACCTCATTACAGCCCAGGAACACATTCATGAGCCACCTGAATGCAGCCACTACTCCTTCGCAGGGCTTTTTCTCTCACCACTGCCACAATGCTGCTTGCTGTTCCCCCACATCCAGCCCTGATGGACCCATGATTGGTGGGGCTACATGCCCATGTCCCACTGCCCATTCATTGCTTTCTTCCACCCAGGGCCAAATCAGTGCATGGAATTGTGAGCTGCAGCCCTTGGAGAGCAGGCAGAGCTGTGGTGTGCTGGAAGGGGAAGTAGCAATTGCTGCCTGAGTCACAGTTGGTGTAAATACCGCATCATATTTGACAACTGCTCTAAGGCAAATCTTCATTAGTAGTATTTTGTTTTACTTCAGGGACTGCTTTCTGAAGTTTTCCTTTTTTTTCCCCACTCAACATTGAGATCAACATTGTAACATCCCCTTTGAACTTGCGACAATAAAATTTCCTTCCCCACTGATTTAGTCCTTTTCCACTTGGCACGCATGGACATTTTCCCTGCTGTTTCTATGGAACCAAAGTCCCCATGAGTCCCTTTTGTTTACTTCCTTGTAAGCAGTTGAACATCATTGGTGAGGTCAGGGGAAGGTGTGTGGCTCTGAGACTAGTGACAGCAATGTCAGCAGCACCGTAGGCTGTAAAATAACCCAGCCTCAACACCTATCCCATCTACAGGCTCATGCTATAAGGATGGGATAGGTATTTGCAAAATACAATTAAGAAAGCTAAATAGAAGATTTCCTTCTGAAAATATTTTTGTTCACATTCTTCCTCAGCTCTGGCTCTCCTGTCCCTCAGTTCTCATCCACCTCCATTCTGACTGCAGTGCTGATAAGCAATTTCCATTAAAAATTAGCTTAGAAATAGACAGTGGTTTCGAAAATACTTTTTTAAAAAAATCCTTATTGTCATGCATTGTGCAACTGCTCCCTAGCACTGCTACAGCTGCAGCCCCTTAGCCCAGGCAATCTCTCTCTGAGCAGGGGACCTGCAGGATTTAAACTGGATATAAGGAAGAAGTTTTTTACAGTATGGGTGGTGAGGCACTGGAACAGGTTGCCCAGAGAGATGCTTGATGCCCTGTCCCTGGAGGCACTCAAGGTCAGGCTGGATGGGGCTCTAAGCACCCTAATGTAGCTGTAGGCGTCCCTGTTCACTGCAAGGGAGTTGGACTAGATGACCTTTAAAGTCCCAATCAACTCAGACAATTCTGTGAGTCTGTGATTCTATGATTCCTTCTCTTTGATGCAGCCTTGGAACCAGGATCCATCGCTGTCCCCAGCTGGATATATCATCACAGTGCTGCCACCACTGGTCTCCTCTGCAGGGGACAACCACTCCCAGATAGTATGGGCACCTTGGGTCATTAGACAAGGGAGAAATAATGGTTCCACCAATGCGTTGTGGCTCAGAGTAAATGAAAAGGGAAGAGAGCAATGGTGGGGGAGTGGAGGATATAGCTGAAATCTAACCTTCATCACATCTTCCATATTTCACCTGTGCCCAGTGACTCAATTGGACACAAAAGCCCTTCCACATTAACCTCAGAAAAAAACACAGTGTTCAGTATCTTAAAGATTAAAGCAGTTTGGTGATGGAAATAGGAAGCTGCTGAAGAACCGACTAATCATGTTTCTTTGTACTAGCTCTTGCAATAATATAGCAATGAAAGACTTTTCACTTCCTGAGTTCCTCAATATACTTCCTCTTACCTAATATCTTTGTTATGTGAATACAATTTCTGTTCCCATGAACAAGGAGGATGCTTCTTATTGGTTTCCAAACATTACTGAGAAGCTGAGACTATGGTTTTTTGAGTAATTACATTCAGGTCTGGCTGTTGTGACGTAGAAATTACTTATATTTTTCTCATCATAGTCTTCAAATTCCAGCTGTCTAGGTAGGGTGACACAGAAAGGACAACATGTGTCATGCCTGGGCACCTTTGGAGGACAAGGCCTATTTTGAGAAGTGACATCACTATTTACAGACCTAAATCCAAATGACTTTCTCAAATGCTTCAGACCAGATCTTCAAAAACGGTCAGATGTTTCATATTGAGGAATATCAATGGCAATTACATGCTAACATTTCTTGGACTGTGGTTGGAAAGTAGAGTCAGAGCTGTAAATCACAGAGGCATTTTTGGAGGTGTAACTCAATGTTGATCTCAATTGTGACAGTGTAAGGCCAGTACAGGGGATGCAGAGGGTTGGGCTGGGGCTGAGGCTGTGGGGAGGAAGTCCAGCAGCTTGTTTGTGCTCTCCGGAAGGCAAGCATAATTCACCAAACAAATGTCAGGAGAGTCACATCCCGCTCTCCTGGCAGCGAGGAGAATTAACCAGGGAAGAAAGCTGTCTCAGAAGTGGTGTACGAGGCTGTGTCTTCCAAATGTTTGCAAGACTGTGGACTCAGAGCTGGGGCTCAGTCCTGTCTTTGATCCTGGCCCTTGTTTTGTGCTGCATTGATGGTTTCAGGCAAACCCACATCTTGGAGAGAGAGGTGGTTCACCGGGAGCTGTGGCATAGGAGGATGGGTATGACATACAGATGGCCCATTTTCTGGCTGTGCTTAACTCAGCATGGCTGAAGTTGTCCTGCATTGTGTTGAGGAGCATTGCTGTGGCAGGGTGACTCAGGTTGGCTCATTGATCCAGCAAAAAAACTGATGCACCAAAAAAAAAAGAAAAAAAAGGAAAAATCTTCCATCAGGTCTTTCAGTAGCCTGCAGGTTTGTTGCTTTCAGTGCAAGGGAGGTGCCAGGAGTGCATGGCTAGGAGCGGGCAGGAAGAGCAGGACCACCCTTTTCACCAGCAGCCCACCATCAGATCAGATTAAGCCCAAATGGGAAACTGCACCCTGAGGGTCAGCAGATAGTACTGCTGGTCAGTGCACAGCCAGAGTCCCCATTGTTCGGATCTATTTTCATGGGTGTAACTCTGCTGGTGCTAACACTGTTGTCTCTGCTATATCTCCATAGGTCCCAGAGAGAAGCAGAGGATTGCTGGCTTAGAAGAAAGCTTGCTTCCCAGGTTATAGTGTTAGCTGAACCACACAGACGACTGGCTGTGACCAGACAAAATGGCCTTGCTGAATTAAGCCAGACAGAAGAAACAAACCCCCCCAAAAAATCATGTCCCAGTAGGTAAAAGTGTAAGAGTGAGAGAAGGAGGCTTGGGAGCATTGGTAAGGAAAGAAGAGCTCCAGGATAATGTAATCAGGACATCCTTCAACCAATTACAGCACATGCACATTATCTGCAGATCTTACCCTTGGTGTTATTCAGCTCATATGCTCTCAATTCACTACAAAAGAGCAAAAAAGGAGCCATCGGGATGATCTGAGAACCCGCCCTTTCTGTCCTGCACCCTAGCTGACAGCACAGGTAATGACTTATTTTCATTCTTATGTGTTTTATGTCAACCTGATCAATGTTCCCAGCAATGTCAGTGATAAAACACCAGACAGTAGCAGAAGCTGAGGGTCCCCTCTCAGCAGCAGCCCCAGCGTGGTTGCTGCTGGAAGGGAGGTGCTGAGAACCTGGCCAGATATTCAAGCTTTCATTTGTTTTGCTGCCCCACTTAATCCTCACAGCGTCTGAAGCCAGAAACGCTTCACTTAGATTAATGAGCCAAACTAAAACAAACCCGCAGGCTTCAAGCACATGAGCTCCTGTTTAACACTGTGAGACCCGCTACCAACAGCAGCTTGGCTGTGGCACAGCTCACTGAGAG